AATTGACTGGAAGTCTTCTGATTACAGGTCTCCTAGGTTAGTACATTGTGAATAAGATCTTAGCTGGCATGAAGAAAATATGAAAATAAGCACAATGCTTTAAGTAAAGAATTCTATAGATCAGAGGGAGCCTTTGTCTGTGCCAAGGCAGTTGATAAATTCTATCCTCTTTAGCTTGCCTCTATTTTCTTTAATCTCTCGTTCTGTGGCATCCTTCTTTTTAGCACCTGGATCTCTTCTATTCTTTGCCACTCTAGGGATCTTGCTTTATTGTCAAAGGCTTGTCAACTATATCATCATATTATCAATATTATAATTATATTATCAATAGTTGTTGTTAAGTCGTTCAGTTGTATCTGACTCTTCTTTACTCTGCGGACTACATTTGTCCATGGGGTTTTATGGCAAAGATACTGGAGTGGTTTGCTATTTCCTTCTGCAGTGGATTAAGGCAAACAGAGCTTGTGATTTCCCCAGGGTCACACAGCTAGTAAGTGTCTGAGGCTGAATTTGAACTCAGGTCTTCCTGACTCCAGGCCCAGTGCTTTATCCACTGAGGCCTCAATGCCTGGCACATCGTAGGTGCTTAACAAGGGCAAAGTCAGAATGTCTTGGCTTCTATTGGTAAGTCAGATTCTTACAAGTTACATTTAAAAATATACTTTAAAAATACATACACTATTACTTCCTAGTAACTTCCCTCCCTTCCCCCAAATTCAACCCTTCTTTGTAGTAGAAAATTTCAGCTACATAAAACAAATCAACACATTACTCATGTCAGACAATGTATGTCTCACTACACACCCTTAGCCCACCACCTACTGAAAGGCTAGAAGCATACTTTGTTATTAATCCTTTGAAGTCACAATTGGCCACTGCTTTAACTTGAGTTCCTAAATCTTTCAGATTTCTTTTGCATTTTTGTGGTCATTCTGTAAATTATTCTCCTAGTTCTGCCTGTTTCAAATTGCTTCATTTCATATAAGTTTTCTCAAGCTTTTTTTTTAATGAATTCATCATGTTCATCATTTCTTACAACATAATAATTCTTCATTATATTCATAAACTTCAATTATTTGAACCATTCCCTAGTTAATGGGTACCCACTTTCTTTCCAGTTCTCTTTTACTATACAAAGTACCCCTAAAAATACTTTTGTTATCTAAGGGTCAGTCTCCAATGTCTTTGATTTCCTTGGGTAGAACCATCCCACCATTTCTACAGGAAGCAGTGTGGCATGATGAAACTGAACTGGAAATCCAGAGACTGACCGTGGCTCTAGTCCTGACTCTGGCACATCCACTGCTATTGCCATAACTAGCTGTGTGACCCTGGTTTCCTCACTGGTAAGATAAGGATGAGCTGAAAGGTTCTTTTCACTTCTAAAATTCTTTAAGTCTATAATTCCACTAAAAATATTTAAGTTATGAGGGAGTAAAGACTCAGTGATTAGGATATCCTCTGGTACAATGGAAGAACGCCAAAGGAAAGACAAGCTAAGGCAACAACACTCATACTTGCCTAGAATTTAACAGAAAATAATGATAATGATCAATTCATTCCAATGGGATGCTGGGCCTCGTAAATAGAGAGTAAATACTCTGGGAACTGCTCCCAGGCCTCCCTGGAGTCTAGGTTACTTTGTGACTTCAACATACATTGATTTCTCCTCTACTTAATTCAGTTTGATTCATGGTAATGTCTTTATTACAAATTGACAACCCTATTGTAACTGCCTGCATCATTTCATAGAACACTTTGTCACAGCAGTATCCAATGCTGATGTCTCAGCACTTGTTGTTTCCTGTGTATGCTTCCCTTGTCTCTCACCTCCTTAGGGACAGGATCTTTTACTCTTGTGTTGCACTCCAGAACCCTGTCAAGGACAATGCCCTCTTTTCATTCACGTAGGTTAGTAACTTGGAGTCACCATGAACTCTCTCCTCCCTTCCTCCATCCCCACTTCCAAACAGTTGTCATTTTTATTGCTTCTACTTCTCCAACCTCTCTTCTGTCTATCCCCTTCTCTCTCACACATGGAAGCAGCCACATGGTATCATAGCTAAAGAACAAGAGCTGGGAGTCTGAAAGCCTGGAGTTCAAATCCTGTGTCTGACTCCTCCTCATTGCGTCACCCTGGGCAAGCGACTTAACCTTTCTCAGCCTCAGTTTCCTCATCTGTAAAATGAGGATAACCCTGCCAGGGTTGTTGTGAGAATCAAATGAGAGGACATATGTAAAACACTTTGTAAATTGTAAAGTGCTGTGGAACTGGAAGCTGTTTTCTACACATTCTAGCTAGGTGGTGTGGTAGATAAAACACTGGACCTGGAGTCAGGAAGACCTGAGTTCAAACCCAGCCTCATATACTTACTAGCTATGTGACCCTGGGCAAATCACCATATGCTTCAGTTTCCTCAACTGCAAAATGAAGATAATAACAACACCTACCTCACAAGGTTGTCATGAAGATTAAACGAGATAACATTTGTAAAGCACTTAGTATAGCACCTAGTATACAGTAGGGGCTATATAAATGCCTATTCCCTTCCCTTCCCCCTAATTCATACCCTAAATTCAGTCTCTTATCTCTCTTGTTTAAACTAATGCAATAGAGTTTGGTCTCCACTCTCTTCACACAGTTGCCACATGCATACTGTTAAAACATAGATGCAACTATGTTAAAACCACTTCCTACTTAAAAACACTCAGCAGGGGGGCAGCTAGGTGGCACAGTGGATAGAGCACCGGCCCTGAAGTCTAGGAGGACCTGTGTTCAAATCCAACCTCAGACCAAACACTTGACACTTACTAGCTGTGTGACCCTCGGTAAGTCACTTAACCCCAATTGCCTTAAAAAAAATCATTCAAAGCTCCCTACTACTTCAAGGATAAAATATAAAATCTTCAGCCTGCATTGAAGCACTTATACAATTTGGATCCCACTTACCTTTCTAGTCTTATTTCATATTACTCCTCTTCACCTCTCCATTCCAGTCAAACAGGTCAGCTAGCCAACCCCTACCCACAGACGACATATCTCCCACCTCTGTGCCTTTTTACTCCCCTCCCTCCAAGTCTAACTGCCCTCTCTCTTCACGTCCACCTCTCTAGCTTCCATCAAAGCATAGCTCAGGTACCTTCTCCAATAGGAGGCCTTTTCCAATTTAGCTTATCAGTGTGATCACAGATTTAGAGCTGGAAGACACCATCATGCCTCATGCCCTCATTTTGTCATTATTCAGCCATCCAGTCACGTCCAACTTTTTGGGACCCCATGGACCATAGCACACCAGGCCCTTCTATCCTCCACTATTTCTCAAAATCTGTCCAAGTTCACATTCTTTTTTGCCAAGACGCTGTCTATCCATCTCATCCTCTGCCATCCCCACTTCCTTTGGCCTTCAATCTTTCCCAACATCAGGGTCTTTTCCAACGAGTCCCATCTTCTCATTAGGTGGCTTCAGCTTCGGTATTTAATCTTCCAGTGAATGGCCTGAATTAATTTCTTTAAGTATTAACTGATCATGCCCTCATTTAAAGATCTGGAAACTGAGGTTCATAGAGATTAAGTGACTTGCCCACAGTAAGCTGTCAGGGCTCTCTTTGTCTCAAAATTACCTTGTGTTACTTTGTATATAATTCTTCTTTAAATCTATATGTGGCAGATTCCGCCAGCAGAATATTAGCTCTTCGAAGGTGGGAAATGTTTTTGTTTTCGTCTTTGAAACCTTCGTGCTTTACACAAATCAGGTACTTAATAAATTTCTGTTGTCGACACAGACCTACGCACATAGTCAGTGATTCAAATAAGAGTGGAAAGAACCCTGGGTTTGATGTTAGAAGACCTGAGTTAGAATCCAAGCTATATTACTACAAAACTTCATGACCTTGGGATATCAGGGCACCTCTCTGGGTCTCAGTTTCCTCAGCTATAAAATGAAAATGTTGGACCAAATGACCTCTAATTTCCCTTCTAGCTCTAAATCTAATGATCATATGATGTGATAAGCTTTTTTTTTTTGTCTCTCATAAATACTTGATTTCTTTCACTCCTTGGAATTTTTAATGAATGCACTGGGGACACCTCAAATCCAGAAAATAATAATTTGTCCAAGTTCAGCTCTCTGTCTCAGGTTGAGAAATAAGTAGGCTTGGACTCCATGGAAAGGAAGATTCTGAGTCATATGGTAAAACAATAAAGAACAGTCTTGTCTCCTTGAGAAAATGTTTTGAGCTTTAGAAGTTTAATGACCATAGAAAGGCCAAGAGCCATCTGGCATCTTCCTAGTATTGGCTCCCAACAACAGGTCTCACAGACCCCAAGACTCTTCAGGGACATGGGGAAAAAATGAATTACATATTTAAAATCTGGAGGCCTATATCTAAATACATATTTTTAAAATCCTGTCTAACATTTCCTCTTTGTTTAATTACACACACAACTGACCACATTGTGAGAGCTAGAGTCATCATGCTGAACAGTTTTGGGGGGACCTATGCAATATGATGTCTGGAATAATACCCAATACTGCGGTCAGCTTACACTGGGTATTAATCAGCGTGGGCTAAATGAGCAAAAGTGAAATTACAATGACTAATCAGAGTAAATCATCAAATAGGGTGAAATGTGAAAACTTTGTTGAGGCCTTATTTAAAAAAAATTGTCCTATTTTGTAAATGCAATTGCCATCTTCTAAATCTCTCATTCACTTTCCTGGATTACTGGATTACCCTTTATGTCGAAAAAGATGTAAACAAGACTCTTCTACGCCTATGATGAAGTTCACTGGCTGATATTCTCTGGCACTCAGAATATGTACGTATGCGTACGTGTACACAGTTGTACTTAATCATTCTTGTTGGTATTGAACCACTTTAGATGAGGAGCACAATTCCCTCCAGAATTACTTCCCTTACATTGCAACTGAGACCATTATCTAAAATTACCATCACCATCAGAAATAAGACAATTCCAGGAAGGCTCAGCCTAACATTACCTGGACTTCATTCCCAGTGATCATTTCCCATGATCCATAGTGGCCTTTCTCCTGCCGGAAGAATTGTACCGCTTCTAAAAAGGCTTGGGCTTCAAATGTTTTCTGCTTCAAATAATCTATAAAGAAATAAGATCAGAGTAATTAGCAAGAAAAAGTATTTGACATTTTCCCTAGATTCTTTAATATGCTTTAACTTAGGTGAAATGGCCCAAGAAGCTTTGTAGTCAATGGCCTGCAAAGGTTTTGTCCTGCCATTTCAATTACTCAATTAACAAGCACTTCTTAAGTGTCTGATGTGCCAGGCATTGTGCTGGGGGAAGGACGAAAGTCAAACAGGCCCTGCTCTCAAGGAGCTTATGTTCTAAAGGGGGAGACATCTACATAGACAAGGATAGTTGAAGTAGGAACAACTGATTTAGAGGTGAGTGCAGTAGGAGTTGGGGGGGGATAGGAAAGCCTTCATGTAGAGAGTGGGGCTTGAGTTGAATATTGAAGGAAACTAGGGATTTTCAGAGACAGAAGGAAGAAGGGAGTGTATTCCAGACTCAAAGAAAAGTGCAGGGATGGGAAAGGGAGTGCCATGTAAGAAGAATGGGTTGACTGAAATATATAGTGTGTGAAGGGGAGTAATGTGTCTATATGGCTGGGAAGGTAGGGTGCGGCCAGTTTGTGAAGGGTTTTATCAAGCAAAGCAGTTTATATATGCTGTTAGTTCATATTGTCTCCTAGAAGGAACCCCTAGAATTTATTTAGTACTTGCTGTGTGACCTAGGGCAAATCCCTTGACCTTTCTGGGCCTTATTTTCTTATCTGTAAAATAAGGGGACAGATGAGATGATCTTTGAGGACTCTTCTGGCTCTAGATCTATGATCCCACAAACCCATGGTCCAATGCCACTACAAAGGAGCAGGACTGTAGGGACCAAGACAAGATCATACATCTGCTCTGATTTCAGAATCCCTGGGTTCAAAACCTACCTCTGCTATTTTCTATATGACTTTGGGCAAGTCATTTAATTTCTTTTGACCTCATTTGTCTTGTCTATAAAACGAGAGTGTTGGATTACAGTAAATGGCCTTTGAGGACTGTTTTAGCTTGAGATTTATGATCCTATGATATATAATCTTAGGGCCTATAAATCTGTGGGTCCATGCATAGGTTCCCAAAATGGGCAATACTGCCTCCTGTGAGGTGCTGGAACAATCCAAGAGGGTGGTAGTAGCCTAGGGTGCAAGTGGGGGGCACTGAATAAAAATAAGGGGGCAGTGGAAGCATAAGGAAAGAAGAGAAGATAAAATTTTGAAAACGCATTCATACATGCTGCATCTGTTGTGAACAGAGTTAAAGTCATAGTGATTATATTATTTTCCAAATAAACACACAAAATGCAAGTTATAACCAATCTGTGGTAAAGTCCTCCAACAGGTCTTAACAAGCAAGTGTTGGCAGGCAAGCATCTCAAGCATTGTTGGGCAATCTAGAGTGCATGGGCAGGAATGTATGCATGTAATGACTTGTTTACAATACAATACTATATACTGCATATTGCAATCATCATCAATATTGCATCATCAAAATTTCAATGCAGGAAAACCCCTCACAAATTTATAATAAATTATTAAATTTAAGATGCATCATTTTTTAAAAATTTTATATTTTTTTAAATGACACAAAGTTTTAAAAAAACTGTTAAAGGGTTAAAGAAAGTAGATTTCCAGGGGGCCACTAAGTAAATTTTTTTTAAAGGGGGTGGCAGGCCAAGTTTGGGAGCCTCTGTTATAGCTTCACATCCCATTAATTGTAGAATTCAGAGCTGAAAAGACAGGAAGAGCCTGAAGCTTATCAAAGTGAAGTGACGGGCCCAAGGTCATAAGGGACAGAGAGGTCAGAAGAGAAACGTCTTGACTCCCGCCAGTATTCTTTTCAATACAGTGGTGTTACCAAAAGGCTAATTAACTATAAGGAAAGAAACTAGACTTGTGATTTCTCCAGTATAGGGAACTCTATCCATGTTGGTCAGCACTTTCTCTGAAGGAGTGTTTATTGCCCAGGATCACATGGCTAGTATATGTGAAAGGTGGGACTTGAACTGGTAGATGTTTAACAACTGGCTTTCCCCTCCAGAAGAAATGTATACAGGACATATTTTTAAATTTAATATGAATTATTAATATGCTTTCTGCCACCTTCTTAAGTCTAGACAATCAACTAAACAATAAATCAAGCCCTCATTTACAGTGTTTGCTGATTTCCGAGGTGTGATTGCTCCTGCTGAAAAATACGTCAACTCTGGTAAGCTAGCTGAACTTGGCTCTGACTTGAACCTAGGTCTTCCTGGTTCAGAGAGTGGCCCTCCAGCCACTACACCTCTGATGGAAGACAAAAAGGTTCAGAATTGGTAGCAGGGCCAAACTCAGGTGAAACTGGTAAATAGGCAGTTAATTTGGGGCATGAAGAAGGAGTCTCCTTTCTCTTGCCATTTTCCCCTGCTTCAGATTTCTTATGTTGCTCACTGCAAGATGAGAAATGTCTCATGCTCCAAAATTATCCCTTCCTTTTCTCTCTTTTTACAGACATTGCAGATGGACATGAATGTGGGCCTGGAATTGAATAGAGGATGGAAATTGGGCTAGATTGCATTTGGAAAAGTATACTGCACTTTTAATCATCTCCAGCTGCTCCCTGCAGTAAAAAACCCATCTTTTTAACACCAATATTCTGCCAGTGATGTTATATGGCTGCAAATCATGGGACACCATGATCTCAGAAAAATCCCAACTGTGGACCATGGAAAGAGTCACGATGAATAGATGATAGTGTTAATAAGAGAAGAGACATCATCTAGGGCATGGATAACTAAAAAGGGAGGTTAGTTGACCACATAGCAAGTACAACCCAGGTAACTTTAACATATTTTAAAAACTAAGTGTTTTGGGTAAATGGAGGATTTATGTAAGATGCATAAGAATGATAAAGGGGAAGGCATGGATGAGCTGCAATCTGAATTGGGTAAGAGAATTCCACAGACATGAGATTATAGATCCATTGAAGTATCCTGCTCCATCACAACTTTTATTCCCTTGTACAGCGATCTTAACTGGTTATCTAGATGACTTCAAGATCTACATACGTAGTTCTCTACTGAACTTCAGGCCTACCTTACTAATTCCCCATTGGACATTTCCATCTGGATGTCCCAGAGGAATCTCAAACTCAACATGTGCAAAGCAAAACTGATCTTTTCCCGAAAACACTCCCTTTTCCTAAACTTCACAATGTCTGTTGAGGACACCATCATCCTCCCAGTTACCCAGATTCACGATCTCAGTCATCCTCACTCCCTCAACACCCTTTATTCTCCTCCCCATTTCCAATAACTTGCTAAGTCCTGTTGATTCTACCTCCACAACAACTTTCATCTCTGGCTGCTGGTTAATGCAGTGAATAGAGACGTGGGTCTAGAGTCAGGAAGACCTGAAGTCCAGGTTCAGACGCTTACTCGCCGAGTGAACCTGGGCAAGTCATTTAACCTCTATCTGCCTCAGTTTCCTCAACTGTAAAATAAGGATAATAATGGTACCTACCCTGCAAGGTTGTTGTGAAGTTCAAATGAGATATTGGTAGTTCTCAGTACTAGATATATGCCTGGCACACAGGAGATGCTTTTAAACAAAATGCTCATTCTCTTCCCCTTCCCTCCCCTCTTCTTATCCTTATGGCCTCCACCAGACTTCAGATCTCTATCACTATTCTAGGCAGAACTATTGCAATAGCATCCGAATGGTTCTCCCTCCCTCCATTTTCAATCCAACCTCCACAAGGCCACCAAAGTGATATTCCTTAAACAAGGTCTGACTGTGTCATACTCTTGCTCAACAGACTCCAGGGGCTTTCTACCATCCTTGCAAACTCCTCTTTTGGCACTTAAAGCCCTTAGCAATCTGTCTCCAACCTGCCTTTTCAGGTTTATTACATTTTACTTACTCCCCATTATGCGTTCTATGGTCAAGCCCAGACTGGCCTTCTTAGTGTTCTTCAAATACAACACTGCATCTACCATCTCTTTGCCTTTGCACAGGCTATGGAATGCAGTCTGTACCCACCTCTACCTCTTAGAATCCCTAGCTTACTCCAAAGCTCAGCCTAAGTACCATTTCCTTTATAAGTGATCTCCCTCTTTCATTGCCCTCAATTTTCAGTATCCAATATCAGTTACCTGATATTTACTTTGCAAATGTAAGGTACTGCCCTTTCTGGATGCAGTTTTGTTGTTGAAACGGGCAGGAAAAGAACATTTGTGTAAGGAAAACAGATTAAATTAACTTGTGAAGAAACACAGCCTCTCAGACAAAATGCTTTTGAGAAAAACAGCTTGTTCTGAGGACCATATAGAGAACAGTTCCTCAGATGAATGTACTAAGAGGGTTTGTCTGAAGGCACAGCAATCAGTGGGGTAATGATAGCTACAGGAAATTGTGGCCCATTAACCTATGTATGTGTGATTGTTTTTAGAGATTTGTAGTTTATAGCAGACAAGGTTTTTTTTTTAAGAGATTTATAGTTTATAACAGACAAAATTGTAAATTAAACCAAATAACTGCCTGGGGAGTAAAGAGAGATTATTTTAAAAACTACTGGGTTCATACCTGAAAGAAAATTAGATTTCTTGAAGTTTGCATCCTAAGTTTGAGTCACTGACCATCAGGAAGCTCAGATTGAGGCTTTGGAAGATATGAAATATTTGCAGGAGAAGAAGCTGTAAGAAGAGATAGAAGCAAAAGAGTATGCTGAGCTCGAGAGTTTCAGAAGCTGAGGACAGAAGATAGAAGGTTACAAGAAAAGCTGCATACAAGAGACAGAACATAGAATCTGCAGGAACTGAGCTGATAGGAAGGTTTTGCATGCAGATGCTCTGCTGGGAATCCACTGATTGGAAAAGAGTCATTGCTTTAAGGATTGGCTGGAGAAAGGCTGGCTAAGGTAAGAGAGTTCTTCAGTTCCTATGCTGGTTAGAAGAGAGCTGACTCATGCTGCTGTGTACAATGCTTATTGCTCACTAGCACCAACTATAACCTGAGAAAGGGGAAACCGATCGTAGGTGCCTGGCTGCTCTCT